AATGTAAGGAATCCTACCTACATAATAACTTAACCCCACGACTGAGACTTGCAGTCAGACACCGCGAGCTCAGCGGTGGGCGCTCAGGAACAATCCCCCTAGGAGCGCGAAATCCCATAGGACTTCTGACGAGCACAGACACACGTCAGAAGTCCCCCCTGAGGGGAGTGTAGGCGAAGCGTGTTAATTAAACTTTAAGGTAGTATATATTAAGCCAGGAGTAATGTAGTACACTCAATATGGTAGTCAAGACTGAAAGTATCACAATAATAAACTTATCAATAGTAGAGTCTAATAGACAATTACAATAATCAATTATAGAGGCTAATAGACAATTACAGCTTACATGATCACATGATAGTAATTAATAAGACGTCATTCCATACCTGACACCACGAGCCTCATTCCTCGTGTACTCCTCACAAAACAAGATGTCAGCAACAAGCGAGGTCTTGTGTTTATAATCATCAAGATCGGAGAAACGAGCAGCAGGTTCGAGCTCCAGCTAGTCGTGAAAATTCTGCGTGTATTGTCGTACACAAGCAAAGCCTAACCTTCAACGCTTACATCACTATATCGAAGTATATTATATTGTATTATATACTAATATAAACTTTATTATATACATTTTATTTTTTGAAAAAACGATATAAGCTCAAAGTTACTCTAGGATCTACGTCTATCAATAATTATTGCAAGGCATTAACTTCTACACACTCTATAGGCGTCAATAATAAAGTATTTTCAATCCATCGTAATTTGATCCGAACTAGAAGCTGTAAAGTTCATTGAGTTCGCCACGCGTTGTGACGGCAACTGTGGCTAACGCTGCTGTGGCTAACTCTGATGTGGCTAACGCTGTTGTGGCTAACGCTGCTGTGGCTAACTCTGATGTGGCTAACGCTGTNCGACATGTCTCGGTATTTGACGGCACAGACAGACGTATCTTTGAACACGTGCCCGCGTATCGACACGTCAGGCGATTCGCTCCCGCAAATCATCGAGTCACGTTGGCCAGGAAATGAGGCTCTAGATTCCTGAGCAATGTTCCACGAATCCTTCATTCCCATTCCAGTCACGGGGACGTCGCGACCAGGAATATCATGTACGTCGAACTTTGATTGCAACGATACACTCTCATGTACGTCGTCTGTAGAAGCGTTACACGGAACGTTATTAGTGTACGTCGTTACTGGAGGAGTATAACCCGGCGACAAACCGACGTCTGGGGGAGACGGGACGAACAAATCTGGGGGAGACGTTACACGGGCGCTGGAGACGTCAGAGTTCCCAGGACCGACGTCAACTTCTAGCGCTGCGATCAGACGTACGAGCGCCGACGAGTACTGCAAAAACGTTAGATACATCAACATCAGGTTCATCAAAGTCTAACACATCAACGTCAGGTTCATCAAAGTCTAACACATCAACGTCAGGTTCATCAAAGTCTAACACATCAACGTCTGGTTCATCAAAGTCTAACACATCAACGTCTGGTTCATCAAAGTCTAACCCATCAACGTCTGGTTCATCAAAGTCCAACACATCAACGTCTGGTTCATCAAAGTCTAATACATCTACGTCCGGTTCATCAAAGTCTAATACATCAACGTCCGGTTCATCAAAGTCTGATACATCTACGTCCGGTTCATCAAAGTCTAATACAAAAGTCTAACACATCAACGTCCGGTTCATCAAAGTCTAACACATCAACGTCCGGTTCATCAAAGTCTGATACATCAACGTCCGGTTCATCAAAGTCTGATACATCAACATTTAATGCATATCGCATAAGCGATTGAATGCAACGTGTTCTGCAAAGACACTTTAAGTTCATGTAAAGCATTTATTAATCAATTCAATGAACTGCACTAGCTAATACCGCCTCAATACCATACAAGAACGTCTAATACCGCAGCTCAAATACCCCCCAAATACCCCAGCAATACTGAAGACGTACGCGCGTGCGCAGCTGGCGCAGGAGCGGCGCGGGGCGCGCGGGCGCCTCACACGCACTGCACGTGGCGAGGGCGCGGGCCACGCGCGACACGTGCAGCGCCAGGCAACCGGCCGAGCAACCGGCGCTGTTGATGTTGCTGTTGTTGATGGTGTTGTTGATATTGCTGTTGTTTTTGATATTATTATTGTTGATGTTGATGTTATTATTGTTGCTGGTGATGCTACTGTTGTTGTTGTTGTTGTTATTATTATTATTATTGTAGTTCTTGATTGTGTTGTTCCTGTTGTTGTTGTTATTGTTGTTGTTGATGTTATTGTTGTTGTTGATGTTATTATTGGTGTTGCTGGTGGTGGTGTCGTGTTCATTTTCGGTGATGCTGCAGTTACTGTTGGTATTGACGTAGTTATTGTGGTTGTTTTTCTTGTTAATGTTAATTTTGTTGTAGTTATTGGTGCTATTGTAGTTATTGAAGGCAATGTTATAGCTGGCACTGTGATTATAGTTATTGTCATAGGAGACATCAATATTGTAAGTATCTTCATGGCTATTGTTTTCATTGTTTTTGGCAATGGAATCGAAACGGCAATCATCGAGGTAGTAGTTGTTTTTGTTGTCATTGTTATTAGTAGTGATGGTTGTTGAGGGTTGGTGACTGACTGTCATGTTGTTGTTGTTGTTTTTGTTGCTGTTGTTGTTGCAGCTGCACGCAGCTAGTCTGTAGAATTACAAGTTATCAAATAAATGAAAGATTTTAATAATAATAATAATAGCGGTTACAGCGTTTATTAGGCCGTAGGCCTCTCGCTGATTCTTAACATTGCAAAACATTCACAGCATTTTGCGGTCTCGAACTCGCAACTCACTGCTACAATTCTGCTGCGCTTAACCGCCCGGCCTCCTCGCCGATTCTGACCAGAAACTGGCGCACAGAGCTGGGATCGAACCCGCGCCTCTCTGCGCCAATCATGGTACTCTGAACTGTAACCACTGGGCCACCCTGCCCTTAAACAATAAAATACTTGTTTTTCATGGAAGTGCATTTGACGTATACAAAACTGTATGGAGTACACGAACCAATGAACAAATAACAATAATTCATGAAGGAAGATCGTTCACTAATATTGTAGAGATAAAATTGAAGCGAATAACAAAATTAATTATATTGGGATCAATTTTAAACGTCGCCACTCCCACCATATCCAAAAATAAATTTAAAATATTATAGATTTAACTAAAGCATTCATCAAAACCCTCCTGAATCAAGCAATGATATTGGTAGCGCGTTTTGAATAGATTACTAATAGCAAATTTTAAAATCATTATTTATATTAATATCAACAGAAAATATACAATTAGCAACAATATCAAAGTTTAGCCACTAACGGGCTCTTGCTGGTAAGCCCGTTCTCGACGGCGATGCCCCGACGTAGGAGGAAGACGTTCCCCAGCAGCAGGGGGGCACGTCGGAGCCCGTGACGGGCCCCATGGAGCAGAGCGGACGTCACGCTCACCAGCACGCTCCATATGAGCGGCTCAGGGATGCTCATGGAGCGAAGCTTGAGGCGCTTCTGAAAAACGCAACCAAACTAGTTCTGTACACCGAGTTTAATCATACTTTCCATACTTTTTTTTAACTTTAATTTTTATAATTATACTTTTCATAGCAGTCAATGCATTATTACATAAACTAAATTGACCAGTAATGTCATAGTTATCTGTTAAGCTACAGTCATATACCTACACCATCAGGATAACAGCGTAAACTCTAGAAGATCTCACACTGATTATAAATGTCCAGTTATTACGCTAACAGTTCAATAAAAAGCAACGTAGCAAATGCTGCAGCTGATCTCTCGAAGTTTCGTCGTTATAACTGCTATAAACATTGATGGGAAACTTCGTAGTATCGGAGAGTTCTTTATCATTTATAAACATGTTATAATTAATATTTTGCGTGAATGCTCTCTAGAACAGATTATTATCATGTATAACTAATAATTCACATTTACAGGAATGCTTTCTAATAGATTTTAGTTCATGGTTGCACCCGCAGCAAGAAAGCGGGTGCAACTTTGGCAAAGTTGAACGTGAACAGCAAAACTCCACGGCACTTGCAGCCAGCATTTACCTACACACCACACCGCACGTTTAATTAAGCCTTCAACGGTTTCAATTTTTGCGCGTGTTCAAATAATAAATTAAAGTTAATTTTGTATACAAACAAATAAAAAGTTTCTTTTTCGCATCATGCGGAATAGTCAATAAGTAGGAAATGCCGGTAGCAGGCTACAGTAAATAAATTTCTGATTATTAGAATGTGGAGTAATTCAACTGAAATTCACATTTCATCAGAGTTTCAGTTAAAAATAAACGATTTAGGATTTCTAATGATAACAGAAACTGGACATCGTTTCATAAATATTAATAAGTAAACGCGAAAATACATTACACATGTGCTGTGTTTGCCACACAACAACTCGGTGTATATTGATACTAGCATTTTAATTCGATTAAATGGTGCATAAGTATTAAAATAATTTGATTGCTTAAATCGCAAGTTTATCAAGAATTTAAAAGCAAAGAAAACAGCCACAAATGGTGCATGGTATACGCACCACGACCTGGTCCAGCGTAGCTATGGGCGTATCGAGCAGGTAGAAGAGGTTGCGCGTAGGTTCATCCACAACCACGCCCCACACGCGCATCACGTGCGGGTGGTCGCACCACAGCCACGTGGCAGCCTCATCCATGTCTCCTGATGACGTCATCCCCGTCAACTGTATTAAGTTCATTTATTTAGAATAACTTCATTTATGAATTAAGTTCATTATATTTATATAAGTTCATCAATTTATATAAGTTCGTTAATTTATATAAGTTCATTTATTTATATAAGTTCATCGCGTAATAAATGAATAAGTTCATTTATTTAGTCCGAGAAGAAGCATTGGTACGACAAGTCATATATAAAAGATCTCACTCATCGATTACTATTGTTATAAATTCATAAGGAGTAAATAATGAAAGAGAAACAAATCTCAATAAATATAAGAATAAAGATTTGTACACGAAAGGCTCAGCATAGCTCCATTATTGCGGCGAATGAAGGCGCAAAAATAGTGCATATGAGGTTTTTATTTGAATGAACATTTGCAATTGTACGAGCAGTAGCGGCGTCTCATCGGTCTGTCGGAGTCAGTTATATTTACAGCTGCTTTTTGGGGCTCAAGACGCAGCCAAACTTTCATATATTGAGCCACACCTTATCAGCGCCAGAGATAAGGCAAGCTGAGGGACATACCACACCTTATCAGCGCCAGAGATAAGGGAAGGTGAGGGACATACCACGCCTCAACAGCGCCAGAGATAAGGGAAGGTGAGGGACATACCACGCCTCAACAGCGCCAGAGATAAGGGGTTCTGATAAATAATTTGACTCCAAAAAATTAAACTATCGATCCAGACAAAACCTAACCTACAACAAACCTTCACGAAACAAATATACCACGACCCTACTAATTAATTCGAATGAACAGCGGTCACAATGTCAGATGAACGGTTTTAACAGTGCAAAATAATATTAAAAGCACAACTGAAAATATCTGCAAATGACAATGCAGATGCATGCATGGGTAACTTCCGAGTCCAAGTTGGCGATGTTTATTAGGTAGATGGACGGTACGTCAAATCACCGAGAACTTTGGAACTTTACTTTTCATCCTCGCTTTGCTCAAGTTTCCAATTACGACCATACCACAAAGATCCGATACACACCACAAGTCCCATACACACCAATCAACACAGGTCTCGCACACACCGCACGAAACGAGTAAGACACACACAACACACCACACAACACACACGCATCAGTCGGCCACGGTCCAGCTCCTTCACTTTCCTCCGCGGCTGCGGTCACGAAACTTTCCCTCTCCTTCCTAGAGAATGTTACGTCTACAGCCTGACCATTACCTCACAGCCAGACCATTACCTTACAGCCCGACCATTACCTTACAGCCAGACCATTACCTTACAGCCCGACCATTACCTTACAGCCCGACCATTACCTTACAGCCCGACCATTACCTTACAGCCAGACCATTACCTTACAGCCAGACCATTACCTTACAGCCAGACCATTACCTTACAGCCAGNAGTGAGAAGGATAAAGCCCTGTCTCTTATACACATCTAGATGTGTATAAGAGACAGTCACTGCAGTGCACGGCGCACGTAAGTCAATGCAGTGCACGGCGCACGTGTAGTGCAAAGGTTACCGCCACGTGCATATGGCGCGCTGCCAACGACGCGCGTCTGGCAGCCTCGGTCAGCTGAGCGCCGCTGCTGCGGCTGTGCATTTAAGAAGGTAAAGGTAACCGTTTACGAGGGTAAAAAGAAACCGTTTAAGACGGTAAAGGTTAAAGATAACCGATCACGAGAGTAAATGTAACCGTTTACGAGGATAAATGTAATAATTTGTGAGGATAAAGGTAATCTTTTAAGAGGTTAAAGGAATTTTTACGAGGGTAAAGGCAACTGTTTAAGTGGGTAAAGGCAACTGTTTACGAGGGTAAAGGTAACTTTTTAAGAGGGTAAATTAAGGTAATCGTGTCCGAGGGTAACGTTTCCAAATATAAAGGTAACCGCGCACGAGGGTAACGGTAAGAGTTATCGAGGGTAACGCCCTAACCCTCGCCATGTCCCAAGTCCTGACGTCAGAAGCTCGATTGCTGGCACGGACGCAAGATCTGCTCGTCGCTGCGGGCGTGCGCAACACCGAATGCGTGCTTCTTTCAGCGGATGCGCATCTAAGTCAGTAAATGCGCAAGTCCATCGTTAAATGCGCATGTAATTCAGTAAATGTGCATGTCATTCGGTAAATGCGCATGTAATTCAGTAAATGTGCATGCCATTCGGTGAATGCGTTTTTTAAAATAAGCAGCGATAATAAAATCGTCAAATCTTGGGCACCAAAGATCGCATTAACCTAAAATCTCAAAGTCAGTTTCAGCTGCAGACACGTCGCACTGTTCACCGAGTTTAGGCGCTCAGCGGAATGACATTCGGTGAATGCGTTTTTTAAAATAAGCAGCGATAATAAAATCGTCAAATCTTGGGCACCAAAGATCGCATTAACCTAAAATCTCAAAATCAGTTTCAGCTGCAGACACGTCGCACTGTTCACCGAGTTTAGGCGCTCAGCGGAATGTGATGGGTGAGCAAGCGGAAGTTCAGAATGATAACTCCTGCTTCGGTCCGCAGCAATTCTGATGTACTTAACATAGTTTTCTTTTCCGGGACCTCAAAATCAGTCTTAGACTATCGCTTAGACAAACCTCTTGATATGAGTAAATCCTAGGTTCGACGAACACCAATTCAGATGAAAAATGTTTCGAATGAATTCATATTCAGCATGGAAGTTGTAGCAAATTCTAATGCCACGGTGAATTAAACTTCGAAAAAATTAAATTTTAAACGAAATAAACAAAAGCTGGTTATGCAAGTGTCCCAGCCCCTGAATTTGGTTGGGTTCGTGATGCACGGAATCGTGAAGCGATTGTTGTATTTAGGCTCTGCATGAAAATTAAAAATTCGTCACCATAGTATCTACTATAAAATAAGGTCATAAAAACAAGTGGACAATGTGACAGTAATTAAACCACGTAAAAACATTAAAATATTCGAAAAGAAAGATGTTCATCATTTTTATTCAGAGCTCTCTAACAAATAGGAATAATATCTATGTAACAAATAGGGATGAAAGCTCTGTAAGAAAAAGGAGTGATAGCTCTGTAAACAATAGGAATAAAGGATCTTTTACAAATAGGAATGAAAGCTTTAATTATAAATCGCGAGCACAGCTTTGACACACAATGAACTCCGTGGGAGTAAATGCTGCGGCGACCGCGCGTTTCAAGAAGCACAGTGAGTGGTTCAGCCCGCATTGAACTGACTGAAGTGGACCATGCAGTGCACACTGTAACACTGCAGTGCACACTGCAACACTGCAGTGCACACTGCAACACTGCAGTACAGCGCTGTATTGTATTCAGGTAGCGTAAGGACACAAAGCATGTTGCACATAACAATGTATTAAATTCAATGTTGTTCATTGTACGCCCGGTACCGTAATATAGAGGGGAAGTTAGGGCGCGTATCCAGGATACCTGCCGTGTCAAGATATTGCCTGGACCTGAAATTTCATTCCTGTGGAAGAATAGGAAGTGACTACAGCAAAGGGAGGAATGGATTGGAACAAAAATTGAAATTTAATTTTGAAATTTGTATTTATAAATTCAATTTGAAATGTGCAGCATAGTTTCCTCCATATTTTGAAACGGAAGTCAAGCGTTAGTCCTGTCTTCTATCTATAATGTGGGTTTAAAGAAGTCTTTATTTAAATATAACTCATTAATTAGCATTATCGTTATTAGGAATTAAGGATTACAGGAATGACGGGATTTAGAATAACAGAATTTAAAAATTGCAGGACTTGCTAGTCTTTCAAACATCCCAAAATAAAGTGAAGCAGCATGTGTATATTGAAGTGTTATTAAAACATAATTTTATAACGGGGATAAAACTGTGGCTCAAATTTAAATGCGAGAATCCTTCCACTCGCGTAACTACAGTTCGATCATCATTTGTTTAAAGATTTAAACAAAAATCGGGAATTTTAGATCTTGGCCGGGTCAACCTGAAACTTTAATTGCATGTATCAATAAGGGAATTTACGGGTGTGCGTGTTTGCGGGCGCGGCCATTGTGCGTGCGTCTGTTTGAATAACGTATCATGGATACCATCAGGATTTACCTGCTCCTTTAATAAGCGCCGCTGATTTGGCAAGTTGTGGTCAAATTTTGGACAGTAAAATAACATTATTTGTTATTTATTGCTTAAAAATGCGGTCTACATCCCTTAGGAAAGTGAGGGATAACCTGACTATAGGTTCAAAATCTAGATCTGGTTAATAGATGCAATAGATTTGCTATTTCAGCCAACAATAAAAACGCACAATATGCAGTTTAAACGCTAATCACACAACATAATAATTGCTACAGCACCTGAGAAAAAGCACTGATCTAGCCTCACACTCCCCACAACAATACGCCATTGTCACAAAGCTGTCCAATAAGACTATTGCTTGCATACAGGAAGAGATATCGTTGTGTCAATAGTACACTTACGACCACTGCAGCACTTACGACCACCGCAACACTTACGACCACCGCAGCACTTACGACCACCGCAACACTTACGACCACCGCAGCACTTAAGATCACCGCACCACTACCCGACCACAGCAGCACTTACGACCACCGCAACACTTACGACCACCGCAACACTTACGACCACCGCAACACTTACGACCACCGCGGCACTTACCATCACCGCGGTACTTTCGACCTCCGCACACCACTTACGACCACCGCACGACTTAGGACCACCGCACCACTTACGACCACCGCACCACTTACGACCACCGCACGACTTAGGACCAGCGCACCACTTACGACCACCCACATACGACCACCATGGATATAATGGAAATATATTTCAAAAGTTCGAATGCAGATTGAATTTCGAAATGAGGATGGGACCAAGGAGCATGAGATGTGTAAGGCATGAGGTGTGTGGGGCATGACGTCCAGTCGTTTGCGCGTTAATAAGTGTGCGTGTCCACTCGTGAATGTGTCCACTCTTGTGCATGTCCGTGTGCATGTCCTCCAAGCGACGCTTATAATAATACAAATGACAAATGTGTAAGGCATGAGGTGTGTGGGGCATGACGTCCAGTCGTTTGCGCGTTAATAAGTGTGCGTGTCCACTCGTGAATGTGTCCACTCTTGTGCATGTCCGTGTGCATGTCCTCCAAGCGACGCTTATAATAATAAAAATGACAAATCATGGCTGTAGCAGCTATTGGACGAGACGAGTTTCCTGCTTTAGCGACTGAGCATTCCTTGATCACGTCATCACCGGTAATACACACGTCGCGCTTGTCATACTTGCGATTTCAACACGTCCTAGCAACGCATATATATTGTTTTTTTTTATAGCCTATAATTTAATAACTTATTCATAAACTCATCTTTCTTTATATGTGTTCATAGGCAAAACTTAAATTAATGTTACCTTGTCAACCACATTCCTTACCCATGACTTTCTTCAAGTTTTTCATTACGTCTGGCCCTTTCATAAATCCGTAGCGCATCGTCAATTTTACGACAAACAAGTTAAACTTTCAATTTGAGCCATGACGTAAGACAGTAATGCGTTCATGAAAGGCAACATAACTGCAACGTTCGTGGACGCCGCGGCAACGCAAGAGGCCGCCAGCCTTGGCCTTCAGCAGACGACGAAGCGGCGTCCGCCATTGATGAGAGCCACATGTAACCTTGCTGTCGCTTGCAGCTGTTTACACACAACGCTTCTACCTTACAACACACTTAACATTTGCGTCTCGCCACCGATAGTTAAAGTCTCAAGGAACCGTAAACGCACTAAACTTCTGCACTGGTCACTTTCACTGCCGTTCTGCACGTAAGGCAGGAATAGCGTTACAAAGCCTGAATCTTAATGACAACCGCATGGCGATAGAGCTTCAGGGCCCTAACCTTTAGCCGGAAATGAATAGCCATGGGTAAAAAGTAACACCTCATCGTAATATTATTTTTTCCGTAATTTTTTGCTCAATTTAACACATCGTGCAGGTGTAATTGCGCCATAAATTTCAAAAATAAATAAACTGTTGACAGATGAGTAACGAGAAATTGCGGAAGAGCGAGTCCAGTCTTGCGGAACTGAGAACCTCCATTCCGGGATCAAACGAGCATCGGAACAGGAAGCGATATGTTCTTCCTGTGTGCCAGATGTTCAGCGCACGTCTCGTAATGAGTTGAAGGGAACACTGAAGAACACGCGGAGGGTTACGTGAACAGTCAGTCGTGTCTTTTAATCCGTTAACTTTATTGCCTCGCAGTAATTCGAGTTTACTTCATTAATAGACTTTCGTTCGATGCGATAAAAGAAACGAACAGAAAATTATTATTTTACAAAAGTGTCGCTCCAAGGTTGGGTTTCATAGCACCGTCGCGTGCACAGAAATCTACACACTGCGCGTGCGCGTCAACAAATCTGCACACTGCGCGTGCGCGTCAACAAATGTGCACACTGCGAGCGAGTGCGCGTCAACAAATGTGCACACTGCGAGTGCGCGTCAAGAAATCTACACACTGCGCGTGCGCGTCAACAAATCTGCACACTGCGCGTGCGCGTCAACAAATCTGCACACTGCGCGTGCGCGTCAACAAATCTGCACACTGCGCGTGCGCGTCAACAAATCTGCACACTGCGCGTGCGCGTCAACAAATCTGCACACTGCGCGTGCGCGTCAACAAATCTGCACACTGCGCGTGCGCGTCAACAAATCTGCACACTGCGCGTGCGCGTCAACAAATCTGCACACTGCGCGTGCGCGTCAACAAATCTGCACACTGCGCGTGCGCGTCAACAAATCTGCACACCGCGCGTCAACAAATCTGCACGCTGCGCGTCAACAAATCTGCACACTGCGCGTCAACAAATCTGCACACTGCGCGTGCGCGTCAACAAATCTGCACACCGAACGTCAAAAAATCTGCACACTGCGCGTGCGCGCGACAAATCTGCACACTGCGCGTGCGCGTCAACAAACATTCCCGACCCTATTTTTTGCTGCCAGTCCTGCCCGACGAAGGGTTAAGTGCCGCTGCATTTCCGGGGCTTAACCCCTTAACCTTCTCACCTTCCTTTGGTCCCCCAACCCCCAATCCCTCTTATTCACCCCAGGACCATACTGCCAGAATCTGACAGGAAGGCCAATGACTTGTTTATGTGCATTATTAAAACAACACACGCACTTCAACAGGGCATTAGACGAGAGAGAATACTTCGAGCTGACAGCACGGCTGACTCAGTCACCATTGACAGTGAGATAGATCATGGTGCTGGCAGCACCACTGACGCAGTCACCATTGACAGTTAGATGGATAAAGCATGGTGCTGGTAGCACGGCTGACTCAGTCACCATTGACAGTGATATGGATACAGCCTAGTGCAAACAGCTCCACTGACTCAGTCATTATTAACCTAGACATATCACAGTGTTGACGAACCCACGTACCTCATCGTCAGACGTCTCGGTGTGGCCGTACGTGGCGAGGTACGTCTGACCGTCGAGACGGCAGTGCACGCGCCACGTGACCGTGCGGTGGAAGAAGGGCTCCTCGAACACATCCAGCAAGGGCGCTGAGCTCCTGTAGAGGAGGGTGGTCCTGTTACAGCATGAGAGACAGGCACGGTTCTAACGTACCTGTACTGTTAACAGCGCATGTACTGTTCCAGCGCGTGCTTAATGGGCATGTACTGTTACCAGCGCGTGCTTCATGGGCATGTACTGTACAGCGCGTGCTTAATGGGCATGTAGTGAAACCATCACATATCCAACAAATCTAAACTGATTGGACCACATGTTTAGCGTTCTTACAGCAGGCACGTGACTGGAGTTCTTACAGCAGGCACGTGACTGGAGTTCTTACAGCAGGCACGTGACTAGTTATTACAGCAGGCACGTGACTAGAGTTATTACAGCAGGCACGTGACTAGAGTTATTACCGCAGGCACGGAGAACACAAGTCCACAGCAGTCAAATCAAGTAGGCGTAGGCTCATACAAACAATAAGTGCCGAACATATTAGAGTGTACATTCTGTTAAACAAAATTAAAAGTTTTTAAGACTAGAACTGACCTGACTATAAATTCTTTGGCAGAGACAGTCGACAGGAACTTTGTGACGCATTTTGGGGCATCAGCTGCACAAAGAGTCTGCATCTCAGGGGATGACCAAGGGGTTGGATTGCGGGGAAGTAAAGCTCTTCTGCCGGGAAGGAGCATGGGTGCAACTGGCACTATGTCTACCGCCATCGTCACAAGGCACGTCTGGCGCGTCTAATCTCACTAAAAACTAATAAAATAGTCGTAGTTCTAACATTAAAAATCACAAGTTGGTTAAATAAAATAACTTTGACTGTTCAAGAACTGAAGAGCTTTAGACTAATTCTGCACATTGAGTACTGTCTCCACGCAGTTCAGTCTAACATAAAAAAATTCTGTTAGAATAGAATAGAAGTGTTGGCATTGAAGAAAATATAATAATAATAATAGTAGTAATATGTCTATAGTAATGTAGTTTATGTCTATAGTAATAATTAGACATAAATGCAATGAATGTACTTCGTAGTACCCAGTCAAATGTAACAAGAACATATAATATTCCCAAATCTTCAGCTTACACCGCGCTCGCCGGCTCCAGGTTAGACTTCAGGCGGAGTAATAATAGATGAATAGGTCGACTTATCATATTATATCGAAAAAAAACACGATCATGGATGTTATTAACTATTTATTAAGTTTGTCAGTTACCATTAACAAGCAGGACTGATCTAGAATATGTGAACAAAGATTCCTAAAATTTCACCTTGACTGTCCGTGTTCGGGATACCACCAGTGAAAACTTCTAAGACCTCGACAATCATCTACCTTAATTCGTTCACACTCCCGTGCGTGTTATCTGAACGCAGGCGCTAGGCTTTTACACACATATGAATGGTACACAAAATCCGAATATTTCAATACAATATTATAGTATAGGAAAATTTTGTAGTATGGTAGTAACTAGTAATGCAGTCGTTAGAGTTATAGGAGCTTCATCGTTGCAATCGCAACCTAGCAAGTTAGAAGCAGGACGATTCGACAGTGAGATGTGGACAGGCAGTTGCTTGGGAACCTTTCAGGCGTAGTTGCTAGTAGACTATCAATTTGTTGACAGCGATCGAGCTGCCGGAACAATTATGATGATCAAAGCACCAACAAAATGTTTCGCATGTTACAGCAATAATAGATATAGATAATAATAGTGCCCCAGTAAAGAACTCAAGTACCTAACTCAGTAACAATTTCTTCAGCTCTACGGGCGATCGTTCACTTGGTGCATCCCGAAATGTTTCGTTCTCTAAACACGTCAAATGATCCACTAAAAAATTATTTGCCTTTGATTGCTGTTAGGTATTATACTCTCCAAATCATAAATCTGAACCCTAGCAATTTTATTTTTAGCACGAGTGTAATTTCAATAAAAGGTAAAGTAAAGCCTAAAGACGATGAATTTATAAATATAAATAAACTATAACAGTTTCCTTACAGCAAGGAATGACAGTTTCCTTACACTGAACAAATTTAGAAAGTATTTAATAATAAAATACCATTTTATTGTGAAACGGTTGCTTCTGAGCAGTCACTGGTTTGGGTCAGTCCCCCTCCTAAGCTAGCTATGGGCACTCACGCACAACACACATCCTCACCACACGAACGCCGGAGCGATACTGCGGAGTGCGGACTGCGGAACTGCGTTTGATTATGCCGTGTGCATTACTGCAGCCATGGTGACTGCAGCAGCGAGCCTGCGACCCAAGTTTCTGAATTCCCATGCCTCAAATCGCGCTTGCATGGAGTCACGCACAAAGTTCAAAGTTCGCTCATAATTAATAGTCAACCGAACAAACACAAGGATCGATGGTGGGAGGTATGTAACTGCCATTTTAAATTAGTCATATATGTTTTCTTCAACAGCAATAAAGTTGAATTAAACTGTGACAAATTTCTTTTATAAATTGGAAAGAATTTCATTTTCTCCTTAGTGCATCTCTACAAGGCATATAAAACAGCCAGTGCACCTCTATCTGCCTGGGGAACGCAGCCGTGGGCCACAAATTCAGCTCAGCTAAACCATGCACAGCTACACTCAGTTTCCGAGCTACGATGCCGCGGACCAAGCTACGAGGGGCATCCGGAAAGTAGTAACCGTTTGGGAATTGAACAAAAGGAATTAACAAATTTAACAAATGTAAACATCTTTATTGAAAAGAAGATGTATTACACTACTTCTCAACATAATCTCCGGACAAACTTAAGCATTTTCGCATCGTGTCACGAGTTTCTGTATAGAAGTGTCATATTCCTCCGCCGCTAGTGTATTGAGATATGCAGTCAGCCAGTCACGTATTCTTTCAGTTCTTCGTCATTTTGAAACTTTGTCCCTGTCACGAAGTCCTCGAGTTTCGTAAACAGATAAAAATGTCAAGGAGCCAAGTTCGGACTGTATAGGGTGGATGGTCGAAAATTTCCCCCCTGAATTTTTGGAGAAGTTGTTGTGTTATCCGAGCCATGTGCGGCCTGGCATCGTCGTGCAGGAGAATGACGTCAGTAGACAACAGACCTCGCCGTCGATTTTGAATTGCCCGCCGTAATTTTTCTAATGTTGCACAATATGCATTGGCATTGATTGTGTTTCCACGAGTCATGAAATCGATGAGCAATACCTCTTGCCGATCCCAGAAACACTGGCGGCGGAGTAATATAACACTGGTATACAAAAACTCGTGATACGATACGACAAATGCTCAAATATGTCCGAAGATTATGTAGAAATGTAGTGTAATACATGTTCTTTTCAATAAACATGTTTACATTTGTTAATATTTACTTCCTTTTGTTCAATTCCCAAACGGGTTCTACTTTCCGGATGCCCCTCGTACAAACACGGCAAGCCACAGCAGTTCTGACACTAACTGTCGCATGCTACCTGCCCAGGGAGGCTCTTTTTTGCACGATGTTTTCTTAAGAAAGTAATATGGCCCTTACCTCCTCAGATGAACCTCACGATTCAATGGCTAAATAATTTTTTTAAGTATTCACAAATCAAGGAGGTATTGAGAACCGCGAGAGGCTTCTTGGAATGTGTGACACGAGAGGAAACAAACGTCGTAAATTATTAGCTTCCAGTCCAATACAGGCGGCACGGTGAACTCAATGAGGGGCGAGGAATAATATGTGGACAGTGGTCGGCCTAGTCCAATTAGTTATAGCCAAACGCTGGCCATTCCACGGCCACCTGAGGCTGCCCGTTACCAAAAAAAGGGGCTGGCTAGGATATCATTACAAAGACTTCAAGCCAGAGCGAGGGTAGCGACTGTCAGATCTTAAGGCTGGTAGTCAGAATGCAGCGAAGTCTGAGAGCGAGTTTTTCGCGACCATCATGTGAATGAAATCTTTGATCTGCCCGAAGCTCGGCCATTCGCTACCCTCGAGCTTGTACTCTTAGTAATATGATATCCTAGCCAGACCTTTTTTCGCGGCAACTGATCGCTTTCAGGTGGCCGAGGAATGGCCAGCGGTCGATTATAACTAATTGGACTAGGCCGACCATTGGCCACGAATTATAATTCCTCGCCCCCTCATTGAGTTCGTCGTCACCATGCAGCCGGCCTGAACTGACAGTTCAGTAATTTGCGATGAAACTCATAGGGAATAGCCGAGCCGGTTCGTAGCCTCGCGGTTCTCAATCAGAGCCTTAAAGCCGATCGATGATTTCACAAGATGGTCGCGAATATCTCGCTTTCAGACTTCGCCGCACTTTGATTACCAGCCTTAAGGCCCTGATTGAAAGCCGTGCGAAGTCTGAGAGCGAGGTTTTCGCGACCATCGTGTAAAATCCTTGATCTGCCTGAAGCTCGGTCAGTCGGCTACCCTCGAGCTTGTACTCTTTGTATTATGATATCCTAGCCAGCCCCTTTCTCGCGGCAACTGGTCGCTTTCAGGTGGCCGAGGAATGGCCAACAGTCGGCTATAACTAATTGGACTAGGCCGACCACTGGCC